GGGGGGGGGTTTCCAAATTTCCAGGGGGGATGGGTGTCCATGTGGGTGTGGTTGAACTTGCGATGTTATCTGAAAACCTAGACCAGAAAGGTTGTAAGGAATGCAGAACTAGGCTACGGTTGTGCAATACCCCAACAGGTTCTGCCACAACAGCTATGTAGAGTTCTTTTTAGGCTTTGCCTTTTCATATTACGATAGAAAGTTGAAAAGTCACAGTTTTCATGCTACATGTACATGTGGACGGTCTTTTATGTAATCATAGAATAAAGTTGTACACATAATGTAGCTCACATGTACCTGTAAGGTTGCAAAACCTCTGTAATAACAATCGGAAGCGACTTGTTACCATGTAATAGTTATACAAGGAAATTGCAAGTATTCGACAGAACAATCACTAGTAATCATAGTCGATTTTATCATATAAACAAGCAAGTAACTATACAGTAGTCGTCGATTAAGAGCCACGGTTGTTCAAACTTCACACATTAACTTAACAGGAATTTGCTTTGATTGCATTTCTCCTCATACACTCTTTGTTCATCATCGTCTCTGAATTCAATCAAAATCTATCAGATTTATTACCAGAATTGTAGAAATTAGATCGACTCGGATGTCAACGTTTGTGATTAATGATCGATTATTTAAGATGAAGAAGTGAATATCAATATATTTTACAGTTTATCGGGTTGAAAAGTTGCAAAAATAACTGCTTCATTTGTTTTGACTAATTATGCAACATGGGTAATGATAAAAAATAATCCAATTTACCTTGACTGGAGGTGTATGCGATTTATTTAGCTCTCGCTTCGGTGATCGCTATATCAGGAATCTATACAGTGCAGTTCGACCACAGTGCTTTTGAAACAATAATATGTGAAATTAATTAGAATATCAATATTTTATCACAAGAATATAGTAAGTTAATCTATTTATTTTTCTTGTTAAAAGCTTTTTTTAATGGTTTTGGTAACAGGATTGAACTTCTCTTAATATGTGTGGTATTTTCTACCAAAACAACACTTTACCAGGAACAGTGATCTGAATTTCAACATTCCTTACATAAAAGGTGTGGAATCATCATCTTTTTTCTATAATGCTATCAAAGATTGGAATAACTTACCACATTCAAAAAAATCTGTCGATCACAAGAGTACTTACAAGTTTTGGCAAAAAATGATTTTGAGCAAGAATTTGTCTTCTAAAGGTAATTTTTATTCTATCCCAGTGGGTGACTCTAAACTTCTTCTAAAAATATATGATGTATTACCAAAATTTTAACTAAAGTACCAATATAATATGCACTTTTTATAAATGTTATGGAAGATTTTATTACCATCATCCTCAGTCTTTATTTTATTAAAAGTCATTTTTATATATGTATAATACCCCAAATTGCTAAAATTTGTTAGACAGATAATAGGTTGGTAGGGATTGCCCAACCACCTGTTGTCTGTTCTACACACAAGTACCACAGTATAAATGTATATGGCCTAACACCATCTTATATTGTTACTTAATATCTGCAAGAATGACATCATCTTGCATTATGATATGTACAGTGATACATATAACTGATATTTTATTATTACAAGTGGAAACAACATCATGCATAGCCCCACATATATATATTATCAGAAGGAAATCATATTTGCTAATGACAACTCCATCTTATACCGTCAAATAAAATAACATCTTATTTTGATGAAATAATATATCATCATCATATTTGACCAATTACAACTTATTCTATTCATATATATATTATTACGAGAAATTATACCATCTTATATTCATATTATAAGGTCAAATCCTTAGGACCTTTTGTTATCTAAGTAATTAAGATCTATACTAGAGGACCCCATTGGAAATAAGCTGCCACCCAGCTTTCATGGGATATCCTAGGTTAAAGCTTAGTCAAACAGATACATTGTATTTATAGTGCTCCAAAATTTGTGATATTAACTTTGATGTGATAATCTAAATACTGTGATAAATCTGTGATTATTATGCAATTGAAATCTGTGATCATATGTGATATTTGTACCTGTATCTTGCTTTTACCGAATAAATATTATTATTTAACAATTTTTAGGAAATAACACTTGAAATGTTTATTAAAATTCATTTGATGTGTTTATACTGTAAATGAAAAAAAAATGCAGTAACAGCACAGGACTTTGTCTTTGTTTCGAGTTTTCCTTTTCCAAAAAAATGTGAAATTTTCTGATAATGACGCATTTACAGTCAACGTTGCAATTGACCCTTTAATCTTTGTAGTGCTCGTAGTGATGTCTCCTCAAGTTGGGGATTTCCGTGGCTTTTTTTAGACGTAAACAAATTATCACAGATGAGAGATTTCCACAAACACTGGACAGGCTTCACACAACGAAATCTTAATTTATTTAAACGTAGAAACAAAACATAACGAAAGTAAATATTGAAGAAACGAGAACTGTTCCGAGTCGTCAACAAAGATGTAAGGCTACAGTAGGCCTACGGGATTTTGCTAGAGATTTTAAACGCTGGGTCATATCACGGAATTGGATCTAAGTCCGTGGTCATTTCTTACATGCATAATTGTGATCAGCAGCAAACATTGATCGTTGTGAAATAGCCATAGCGTAGAATATCGTAAAATGGTAAAAATTACTGGCACCAGTCAAAATTCAATCGAACTCACCGATGCAAGTTGAACCGGAAAAGCGGCTAGAACATTTCTTCGTATTTAGCGCATGCGCAACAAGCTCTTATCTCGATTCCAGCCTAGAGGGGTACCCAAATTGGCGCTTGATTACGGGGAAATCGGATCTTCTGGAAAATTCCACGAAACCCTAGAAAGCACCCTATTTTCAAAGCTCTCTTTGGGTCGTTCTGTGAAAGATATCGAAAAACGAAATCTACCGTTTTCTTCAAAATGACTTGGACTATTTATGTTTGGAGTTTCAGTTCGTCAGCTTTATACAGAACCTAATGGTCAAAATGCCGATTTTGGCGTGTTTGACCCCAAATATCTCAATAACTAGATTTCCCCCAGATATAACAGATATACAAAGAGGTAGATCTCGCCGAGTTCTACAAACTTGGGAAGTTTCAGCAAAAGTTATGGAGCCGGTTTTTTTCGTACTCAAATCGTTGTTAGATGCGGCAAATTAGCTACATTTAGCCGTGTTAACATTTCGTTCAGAGGAACGATAACAGAGTTATCGCCCCTCTAACACTTGTTTGAAGTACAAGACTGTACGAGCAGTGAAAAACAATTCCTGGCATAAAAAAAAGTTTTTTTAAAAATGTGTTTAAACACAATGTGACACACTTTTAGTCAGGGTGAAAAGTAGGACTCGTAAATAACTATCCTCGGGTTACCGGTTTCCGCGCTATTAAGAAGCATCCGCGATTTCGTACTCATATCGGCAGAACACTGTTGAAATTACGGAAGACTGTCATAAACATGCATACAATCTACCAAAGGAAACAAAAAACTAGCAATATAAAACTGTATTTAAAAAAAATCAGAACAAACAATTTTTAGCAAATTTCTCCCGTCGGAAGTAGCCGTCATATGTTTCCGTGTGTCTATTTTGATTTAGTGTTCAAAGAAAGATAACTCGAATACACTAAAAAGAAATTCTCTACAGTGACTTGCAAGAACAAAAGGTTCGTTTGGAATAAAAAATATATCTTTGATCGTCAAATTAATTATCAAAACAACACTTTGAATTTCACCTTTTCAATTTATTTTTCAAGATGTCAAATTGAACGAATTCATGTATTTTTTTAAAATTATTTATTATATCTATTTATTTATGATGTAGAATCTGTTATTATTTTTTTCTGCAGTTTTATATCGGTTTTGGTTGATGGTAAGTTATTTCTCAATTTGTTCTGTTTCAAATTGGTGAAAATTGGAAGTTCATTGCATTACAAGGTTTACGTTTCATTGAAAACACTGTTTATCGATATAAGAATGTCTCCTTGGCTCTTCGGAAGTGGAAAAAAATCGGCGAGGAGATGTGGCCTCATTTGCATACGACTTTTTCGTACGTTTGTCAGACTACAAAAAAGACTGGTTCATGAATGAAATATATCACCGTTTTTTCAGGTATCGGTTCATTTTGAGCAAGATAAAAAGAGCATTAAGCAAAACTGCATATTTATGCGTGATTTTTAATCAGTGATTAAATCTTATGTTTTCCGGACGAACTTCCGTTATTTTTTTTGTCAGTTTACAGACGATGGCCAAACGTCTAAAATATCCTTGTGTTGTGTCCAGCAGGTCACGTAGTTACGAGATATAGGTTGATAAAATGTCTGCGCGGAAATACATAACGCGCGGAAACTGGTGTCTAGACGATACTCTAAAATATGCCCAATGAACGTGGAGCAATCCAGGTCACAGGTGTCCCCATGCATGACATATATTCAGCGGTATCTAAAAGTCGTTAAATTCCTTACTGACAAGTCATCATATAGGCACACCGCTGCAGAAAGCATCAACATCCATTTTGGTTCACACTTTAGGTAAGTAGTGTATTATGTTTGTCTTGTACGCATGCACGTGACTTCTACTTTACCTGAGGTGAACTCCTCGTGACCTAATCGGATACACATTAAGGCTGAACCTGATCGTTCTTTGTTATCCATAATGTTTATTATTTAGGTAATAGCTGCCATACTATGTTTGCAACATAGAAATTTGCAGTAAAATATACGTGTGATGTACTATATGGCTCTCATTCTAACAGCAGAGTGGTGATAAACAGATAAAAGCAATACTGTATTACACGCTTTGTAAACCAAGGAAAACCCACGACACGGTTGTCTTCGAATGCTTTTAATATAAGCTAAAATCTAGAGGATAACAGAATGTTGTTTACGCTGAATTTCCGGTATTGAAGGGTTCATTGCCGGTAAGTATACATATGGTTAAAAACGAACTGTTAGACAATGTACTTCACAACATATAGGCCTATTGTAACTGAAATACAGTGTATTATGCTGTATCTATGCATGGTTGTTGTAACTGGAACACGAAGTCGTTGAGAATTTGTTAATACAACCAAATAGTTTATCTTTTGTGGTTATATTAATCAGGAACTAGAATCATTGATTGAATACATGAATATGAAAACTGATTTCGTGCGACCCACTGCACTTACATGTGTGTGTGTGGACTTATGTGTGTAAGCCTGGTTACCATACACTATTAGGTGTGATGTAGGAAGTAAGGACCGGATGTTATCAGCATCATCAGCTTCATATTACCTTTTGATACCAAACAAATCGTGATAGACTAATTCAATTACCCTCTAAGAAGATAAGCAATTAATGTGATTGTGAAAAATGACCAAGCATACACAGTTAACATGATATATTTTATAACCATTCACGAATATGAATTTGGATGTTAAAACTAGAACAGACAGTTTATATAGCTATAACAAAGGAGAACCGACGCCAAATTCTGTTCTGCAATTTATACACTGTATAACCCTAGCAAATGTTTTTTCTACCAGGGATCGATTTTTGTTTTCTACTGATGATCGGTGTTCGCTAATTAATGTATTCCGTGTTGGCATTGTTTCCAATTTTTCTATTTGTATGCATTGTGTCTATACGCACTCTCATTTATCACGTGATCGGGATAATACAAAACAATATTACTGCTGCTATACCATTGTATTGCTTTATATTGACAAGCGAATTTAATCTGGCCTGCAATATCAATGATTTAAGCCTATCATATTGAGTGTGAACAGCGACACCTGGGGTATGACCTCTGGAAGAAATGTTCAGGAAGGTTGCTAACTGTCGTATACTTAACATTGGAATTTACATGAATACTTATTTTATTTTGAACACAAACAGGAATTGAAAACTTATTTTGCGAGTTTCCTCTGTCAAGCAACGAGTGTAAAAATAGCTCCATGCTTGAAACCGACGTGTTCGAAAGCTTGCGTTATACATTTTCAACTCAAGTTTGTATTCAAATCGAACTTTGCATTTATTATTCATATCAAAGTGATGAATATTATTCCAAATACAGTTTTTACACCAGCTTTTACACCAAACATAATGTACAGTAATACCTCCATATATCGCCCTTCTTTTCATTTGCCACCTCGTTTACCACCGACATGTTTCCAGGGCCCTTTTTCACATTTTTTTTTTACTAAGAATCATTTGACACATTTCCTTTAATTTATCGACACACCCTTTTTTAAGTCTAAATTTTCTCGAAAACGAAGTTTTAATGTATATATTGGTCCCCCAATCAAATCATGATGGTGAATATCATAACAAAAATGCAGTTATTGGGAACCAGATTATGATGGCAACAATAGTATCCTTTTTCAAAGTAAATTGGTGTGTTTCCTTTAGAAAACAAATCCTAAACACGTACTTTATGGTCGGTAGGAGGCAAATACTCATACAGTTCAGGTATATGACTATATAGGAATTAAAAAGTGACGTCGTTCCGCGAGCTTTATAGTAAGGTGACATTATATTAACTTATATCATAATGTTTACGTTCAGATCGGCAGAAATAATCACAAACAATTATAATTAGGGTTGCGGGTTCGCGTCACGGCACGGCAATGTGTTGTATCCTTGAGCTAGATACTTTACTCCGCCTGTTCCAGTCTACTGAGCTGTAAATGAGTACGTGGTTGGGCAGTGCTAGAATTGTTGAATGCTAGCTGTTAGCGCCGAAATGGCAGCTCCGGCTTTTACTGGCTAGTTGCAAAGGCGGATAATGATTTGTGAACCGCTAGACGACCTACGAACTAGGTTGTGATAAAGCGGTATATAAGATCCTCCAATTATCATTATTATTATTATTAATTAATTAATACACAGCCACGTTTTTCTGCCGGAGAGACTTTACGCTATGCTGAAAGGTTACAGTCGCCTGCTATGAGCATGATATGATGAACATTTTCTTATTTTACTTGAGGAGTAGTCTACTTTACAACTCCTTACACATGATACTTTATATATTCGTATGAAGAATGTCCTGAACTATAATCATAATCTTAATTTCATATTCAACATCAACGATAAAAATGTAGATATTTTTCATTAATCTGTATAGGTCACATACATAACTTACCATTCAATTTCATGCGTTTTATACGCATTTAACCTGATTTTTGTGTTCTGATATAAGGTATGTATTGTTATAGAAGCGGACAGTTTTAGCGGTTAGCTATTTTTGCGTGTTAAATTTTGACTTAAATAATAATAACGCCGACTGAAGTTTCTATATATTGCTTTTTATTGAATATTGTGTGGGTGCGCCTCTTCCATCATACGCTTATCTGTTAAAATCGATAATGCGCCTAAATTTGAGTGCGTTAATGGTAGGCATTATATAAAGTCCTTCATATTAAAAGAAAAAAAACTGGATAAAAATACTCTATTGTCATGAATCAAGAAATCCGCAAACCTTTATAACATCAACGTTAGAGGATGCATATTTTTGTGTTACATAAAGGTCAGACATTGTATGATGTATAAAAATAAGTTAAGCAATAGAAAATGTATGCGGTTTTTTTTAAATATTAATACATTTACTAGAAAATGTATTTAGTTCATTACATTAGCATTAGAAAATGTATGAAATCATAGCACTAGCAATATTGAAAAATGTATAAAATGCATATCATAGGCATAATATGCATATTTTCAGAAGGCTTTATTGATGGATCGTTTAAAGATATCATTTTAAAACAAGGCCCAGTTGTGGAATTATTCGCTTCATTTATCACATGATTGTAAGCAACATCAGGATAGACAATTTCTTATCATTGCATTTAGGCTTAAAGGTATTTCATACAGCGTCATCAGGGGCGTTTCTAGGATATTTGAAAGAGGGGGCGGGGCGTAGATTAAAATCTACGAAAAAAAATGGACCTTTTTTTTTGCTAAAAAACATAAAATAATTGTGAAATGCACTAATGTAACGGTTCCTGACTCGGAGCATGTATATTTTATAGTTAAAGTGTCAGGGTTTGACATTTGTTACGCCGAATTCTCTCCATTAATTGTCTATGGTATATATAAATGATTGGATGGATCTTAACAGCAGTAGACCAATAACGAGAAATTCCAAATTCTAGGGTATGAGGCGTTACTTAACATTTCAATAGTCCTAGGCCAGGATTTTATGAACGGGAGGCGTAATTACGGTTGCCCTTGTAGAGGTCCATTGGGAGGCTCAGAAGCTCCTGGATTTCAACAATTTAGCATCAAATTATGAAGTAGCCAGACTGATATCTCTCTATCTTAGATTAAGTTCTGGTTTCGTTGAACGACACACATGATACAAGACAATCAAACACTGAAGTATAAAGTTCTTTTGTTCTAAATATTGTAGGCTTTAACGTGGAATACATGATTGAATATGAAAATTGACGTCATTGTACTACAGTACTAAATTAAAGCAATCATGTCACTGTCTAGTTCCGATAGGTGGTATATGATACATTAATAAATATGGTGCTTGAACTTCATGGTAAAATGTAGGTCAATGTCACTTAGTAACTCACTAATGGATATTGAAACAATATGATACAACCAAATGCTATCCAGATGGGAAGTAAAAATGCTATACCAAATATATATGTTACTAGTATAAATGTACCGATTTCACTATATCACGTGGTCAACAACAATGGATATTCATCGCAGAGTCGAATACGGCGGAGAAACGAAGTTTTACGGATCACCCATCGGATGGGGGAATCAGTATAAAAAGAAATCAGAGTATGTGTTAAATTAATGAATATGATAAACTGCCATATTCAATACAATATTAGCAGATTACGATAGTGTTTTTTTGTGTGTTTTTTTTTTTAAAGGGGGGCCGGGGGGGGGGGGGGGGGCGTCCGCCCATTCCGCCCTCACCTGGACCCGCCCCTGGTCATGTCAGTGTATATATTTTGTAATGGGCTCATAACTTTCCTCAAATTGAATAAAGTATGGAAGTCGCTTCGTATACTCATGTCAAGAAGAACAATGTGTCAATAACTACCTTTGCAGAAATGATTTGTCGAAAATATTGTTGATTTTGTCTGAACAGTAACTTTTGAATGCGGAATTAGTATCCATGTAGTGACTATTGTCGAGAAAAATGTGAGAAAATGCTTCAAATCTCGAGAATAATGACATGTATTTTGATTGGATATTTTACAATAATGCATGAAGCTAACAAGACTTTTGATACAAGTCAAGCCATAGGTTCAGGTTCCTTGGTAGATTCCCTCGTTGTCTTGTCGAGGCACCACACTTCTTCCTAGTAGCGTAGAATATCGGCTTCAGCAATAAAATCTGTACATACACAGGGATTAAAAACTAAAGAGTTCTTTTCTCTTCTATAAAACATAGTAAAGTTTATATAAAAAAATCTCGTTAATTGGAGGGTCTGCCATTCTCCTCTGTATTTAGTTCTGCAAGTAGTTTAACTCGTCGTAGATGGATTTCTTGCAAGTATTCTCTACTGTGAAGTTCAATTTTGTTGACCTCATCTTTGTTAAAAACATGGATATCGCTGATCTCTGGGTGTGTGCAATCTATAGTATCAGATGAGTGAATTTTGTAGGATTTGAAGTCAGTTCTGTATATTGCTGAATTGCTGGAATATTTTGTAGTCGCAGATAGGCATGTTCCCTGAGTGAGAACCTGTAGTGAATGGTGTACAGGTAAAATCTCACTTGCTTTGCATGCTTTTTTTCAATCTCAGTCAGCCTTGTTCGCTTTGTGCTCAGTTGTGATTTATTCAGGGGAAATACATGCCATTATTCTGGAGATTTGACACATTTTCTTACATTTTTTCTCGACAAATGCATCTCTATGGACATACAACCCTATACTATTTACAAGGTTAAATGGATTTTTTCCTGAATTGTGACTTTTATTCAGCATGGAAAATGAACATATAAAAAGTTAGTTTTTTCATCAGTTATTGAAATTTTTTCTAAATTTTAGTGTGCATGTACCTGAATTATGTTTGAGAAATATTGGAGGAGGATTATTTTGGTGACAGGGATTGTTTAAAGCTAACGGTATGCATTATTGAATTTGATATACAGTTTGGTGTAGCAGCCATATTGGAATGACCTTAAATATATTGTTCACTTCAATACAGCTCAATGACCACGCTTCATTTCAGTACCTATGCTAGAACGATAATAAAATATATCAATTTTACTTACCGTAATTTCAAGACGAGACCCACCTGAATTATGTCCTTGCCAACGCTTCCCAAAAATGCAGACATGAATTGCAGAAGCCATGCATATTCAAAACACCCTAACAACATAATACAAACCATTGATATGTCATACATTGTAGTAAAAAAAACACCTGTGAAAGTGGAAATAATGCTCGCGAAAAGATAGTGGACAGATATTTATATATTTTATAGCTGAGAGATAAAAAGAACATAAACATGTCAAAAACACTGCTAAGCAACAATTTCGAAACCGAGATCAGTTTTAAGATCCCCCTTTACACTAATTAACACAAGTCAGGTATAGGCAATACATTATGATATACAATACAATCAATTGCAAGGCCATAAATTGCAACATTATATAGTTCACGCCGTTTATAGACAACAAAATAAATATGCAAGACCACACACTTGTGTTTTTCTAACGAACCAGAAAGCACGATTTTATTTGGAATACGAATATATTTACGAGGGCGCGGAACTTTTCAGTTTCCCATGACAAGGGGATTCCCATAAAAAGTAGTTCCGGCTAGTAGGTAAATACAACATTCCGTATTGCACATGTGCAAAACAGAACGTTGTAGTTCATGATCTGAAAATTGCTTGTATTACTATAACAAGATTTAACAGGTATGTGATAAAATGCCATGTACAACCGAATTCCTGTGTTTTCTTTATTTTTGATAATTATGTGTTATGGGTGTGACCTAGCCCTGAACATGCATCTATTGTTTGATTTGTTTGTTGAATTCTATGTATTGTTTTTCTTGTATCTTTTGCAAGAAGGTGAACAAGAAAACAAAATAATTAAAAATTGAAATCTGTTATATCTCTGTTGCGGGGAGGGTTTTGACAACAAACAATGTATTGAAGCACCACGGACATGTGTATGATCTGACAAATTGATATTTGACGTTTGATACATTCACCCTGCGACAAAATGAAACACTAGTTTAAAACGATGCATGTGCCACTTTTAAATCAACTTGGTGTGCCAATATCTGTAATAAAAGGTTCATTTCTGTTTTGTAGAAACACCTGAGTTCATTCAAGATGGCTGCTGAGGGTAAAGACGGCACTGTACCTGAAGAAGAGTACAAACCCCCGGATGTGAAAGAATACTCAGAGTACTGGGCCAAAGATACCGTTTTTATTAAAGAGGCAAATGAGTGTTTGATCCAATACCAAGAAAAACTTCTGGGGGATGCAAAACGCCTGAAAGTCTTCGTTCCTCTATGTGGCAGAGCAGTTGAATTGAAGTACTTCGCTGAAATGGGGCATGAAGTTGTAGGCGTGGAATTTGCTGAGATAGCCATTCACCAGTTCTTCGAAACGTTCAACATTACATACGAAACTAAACCCATGGAAGGACCGGCTGGGACTTTGTATACAAGCACTACTGAGAACTTGACCATACGTATCTTTTGTTGTGATTTCTTCGAGTTTGGTCCACACCTTGAGAATGACTTCCAGGCCGTATGGGACGCTGGATCTTTGTATTCCTTGCCGACGTTACAGAGAGGGGATTACGTTAAGGTTATCAAGTCTGTAATGGCATCAACAAGCAAAACCCTTGTGATGTTCGACGTGCCTTGCTTGGGTGATGACGTCACGACAGACGATCTCCAACAGATGTACGGAAAGGAGTTCACTATCGAGTATCTGGGTTATACTAAAACTCAAAGTAAACATTACGAGCAGTTTGGCTTAGAGGGGTTCAATATGTACTTCATCTCCTCTGGTGACGTGGCTTAATGAGTCAAATAAAATTCAATTCGCCATTACACGACGATAGTTTCGTAGTTGTAAACGAGTGCCTATAAAATAGCATTCGCGGATCAGTTTCTGCTCTCTCTCCGTAAGTTGTTTGAGATAGTTGTGGAGCAGTTTTCCTTTTTGCTTAAAAATGTCCATTATCTCTGTCGTCTAAAAGCTTCAGATTCACACATTTCAATGCCCGAGCGGGGAATCGAACCCCGGCCGTCCTTATGAAAAGCGTGTGCCTTTCAAATGAGTAAACTGCTTACTGGATACTATAAGTATGATATTATACAATTGTAAAATCATCACCGTGAGTAATGTAACACACAAACAGAATTACATGTACAAACACTCTACTATTAAAAGCGTTTGCTGAAACTTACTTCAATGTACTTGCGTCTTGTCGTGTCTGAACCTCACGAGTCGTGACCACCAACAAACAAGTGGGTTTCTTCTTATCGTAAACAACCAAGAATTACCAGGAAGGTGACTGAAGTCGAAAACAGAAATATTATACTGGTCGTCATCAGGAACAACTGCCCTCTAGGTCCACAACTGCCTCTTTGTCCTAAATAGAGAAATTGTCCAAAAGCAATTAATATTGTCCCTTCAAATAGGAATGATCTTTCTAATTTCTACAGTACTTTGATTTAGTGGTGATTTCACATGAAAATATTCCTTTGCCATCCACTGACAAAAGTTGATCAGTGAAGGTCGGCTTATGGCTTCAGGTTAACCTGTACATGACAACCAATTATAGGTCAGCTTCCGACTCCACGTTAAGCTGTACATGCGCCCAATTAAATGCCAGCTTCCGGCTCCAGTTTTACCTGTACAAGACACCTAATCAAAGGTCAGCTTCCAGCTCCAATTTAACCTGTACCGAGCACCTAATTAAAGGCCAGCTTCCGGCTCCAGTTTTACCTGTATAGTGCGCCTAATTAAAGATCAGCTTCCAGCTCCAATTTAACCTATACCGAGCACCTAATTAAAGGCCAGCTTCCGGCTCCAGTTTTACCTGTATAGTGCGCCTCATTAAAGATCAGCTTCCAGCTCCAGTTTTACCTGTATAGTGCGCCTAATTAAAGATCAGCTTCCGGCTCCAGTTTTACCTGTATAGTGCGCCTAATTAAAGATCAGCTTTCGGCTCCAAAACTACCTGTATCGGGTACCTGAGTATTTCTTACTTGTTTCAATGGAAGCATAAATTTCATGAAATAATTCAATTCCTTGAGATACTAGTTAAGTTTTAACACGCAATACTTATTTGATATTTACCTGAAATATCACTCAAAATTTGATTCGATTTGTAATCATGGTGCACTATTTTTCGCGTTAAAGACAATTTTTGCTGAACTAATGAGTATATCTTCCAATTTTAAAAGACCGTAGAGGATTAGACAGCCTCGTTAGCGTTCCAACAATACTGTATGAGTCTGATCATGTAAGTGGGTTGTGGTATCAGTAAAACTAGGAGGCAAGGACGAGGAAAAGTACGGTATATGTATCATTTTATCATATACATGTAGATATCTGTGTGTATATTGGATGAAGCGTGAATAACTAACGGAAACTTTAAGTTAAGCGCTGTATCGGTGTCCCTCTCTGTTGTCGCTTATGTTAATGACACGAGACTTTATATAAGCTGGTTCCAATCCTGTCTATCCCCTGAACATCACGGGTAAACTAGATACCCCCTCCCCAATTCATTGTTGCAGTTTCCTTTCTACTGGTGGAAAGATGACTAGGATATGTTACCCTTTTTGAGTGAGATAGGGAGATGTCGAACGGTTGCCAAATACGAGGCTTGTCGAGTGTTTTGCAACTAAGAACCGTTCCTCGAGGGTTGAGATAACCCATCTCACCCAAACCGGCTGAATATTCTTCGTGCCTTACGCTTCTAACCTTCTCGTATATATTATTTGAACTAACGTTATGGTGCCATGCAATGACGTTAATGACAAGGGTTAGACAAGGATTCCTTCCAGTAAGACAGAGATACAGTTGAGAGTCGAGTAGCCTGAGTTTCCTCTGGCCCTGACACCAGACTTAGACATTTTGACAGATAACTGAAAGGTGCTTTTTGCCTTTTTGTAAAAAAAAATCAAAGGAACTTTTAACAATATACAAACGTGGTGATGTGGGCACACACATTCACATCTACACATGTTAATTAAGACGACTTCTAAACAAATATGTGGTATTTTTTGAAGAAACAAATCCATGTAAAGGTTATTTATAATATCAGCAATCAATGCAATTTGTTTATTGTACATTGAAGTCTTGTAGGAGCAGAGTTAGTGAATAATGTTTCTGGGAAATGTAGCATTGTGATTTGGGGAGTGTTTTCCGGTTTGTACGTGGACTACTGAAGGAAACTCTTCCGTATACCTGCGCATTAGCGGACACTCATCGCTAGGCGAGAGACATGATGTATGTCGAGGCTGCAGGTTGCTTGCTTCTGATAGCTGTGTTTGGTGAGTTTCTATAAATTTTTGATTTTTAAAAATGGAATTCAGTACTAGGTTATATTTTTTTTTAAAGTTTTGCAACGCTGTTCAGTGTACGTAGCAATGAGGAAAGGTAACACGCGCATGACATGGCCATTCACAAATTTAAAAGGCAGTGGCTACATGCATTTGAACGTCGTCGACCGGCTTCGAATTGAATTTCGGCAAAGTTGAGTGACTTTAACGAAGAATTAACCAAGAAATACCTCACAGCCTGTTTGTATTCCACTTGAAATCATTTGTCTTTAGCGGCAGGTATCTTCCCAACTGCTTGAAAAAAGGCAAAGTCATGCCACTGTTTAAAAAATGTGACGAGCATTCTCCTTCTAACCATAGGCCAATTTCACTTTTATCTACCGTTGGAAAAGTTTTTGAGTGGGTAATCTTCAAACACCTACATAATTATATCTTAGAAAACTCATTGTTTTATAAGTACCAGTCTGGTTTTATGCATGCTCATTCTACTGTATATCAGCTCATTGAAATTTATCACAACAATTGTATTGCTCTTGAAGGAAAAAACATGTATGTATGGTATTCTGTGATATCTACAAGACTTTTGATCGGATTTCGCATAAGGGTTTGATGGTTAAGTTAAAATCTTACGGAATTGTTGGTGAATTATATACCTGGTTAGAAAATTATTTATTTCATAAGCATCAGCAAGTTTTCTTAAATAAATCTTATTCCCAATTAGGTTTGAACGAAGCAGGGGTTCCTCAAGGTTCAATTCTTGGACCGCTTTTGTTTTTAATATACATTAATGATGTCTTTGAATCAGCTGCTCGTCTTTTGCAGATGATATTTCTTTATTACAGTCTTCTTCTTCTTGTCATGAAATCCAAACAGTATTGAATAGGGATCTTGAGTCTTTAAACGTACGGTCTAAAACTTGGTTGGTAACATTTAATCCAGACAAAACCGAAGTTATATTTATTTCTAATTCTATTGACATAGATGAAGATTTAGATTTGAGATTTGATGGAAAAGACTTAAATTTTACAGACAATCATAAGCATCTAGGAGTAGTTTTAAATTCAAGCGCAAAGTGTGGGGGGAGGGGGGTCATAATAATGCAATTTATAGTTCAGGTATGATTGAAATATTTGTTAAATAGGAATAGTCTTTTAAACATTTATAAATCATTCATTTCACCAGTTTTAGAATATGCTTGTGAATTATGAGATGGTTGTACTAAATTTGAATCAGAAAAATTAGAGAAAGCCCAAAGAGAAGCTGCTCGAATTATATCCGGTCTTCCTTCGTATGCCCGTATCGAAGATTTGCATTTTGAAACAGGTTTAGAAACTATTTCTAATCGTCGAAAACGTAGAAAACTCCAACTTTTACACAAAATGCAAAACAACTTAACTCCAGATTATTTAAACGATCTCCTGTCACCTACTATTGCAGAAAATAACAGGTACACTCTTAGAAATAACAGTGATTATAGAGTTCCTCTATTTGGGCTTTCTCTTACCAATCTTTCCTTTATATCTTCCACTCTTCGTAGCTGGAACTCCATAGATCTATCAGTACGATCGTTGCCTTCTATACATTTATTTAAAAACTCTTAATCTATAGGGCGTATTAAAGTAACAGTTTCAAAAGTTACACGAACAAAATTAAATGCTACAAAGCACATGCAAATATTTTTCTGCAAGTGTAATTCTAAGTAGAAATGCCATTTGGTAAAGATATCATAGAGAAGGGCTGAAACTATTACATCGTCTCGTGCAAGTTTGACCTAGCGATTGGTCAGCTGTTTTTTGCCTGAAAACATTCAAATAGTTATAGTGACTTGCCTTAAATTTTACTATAACATATTCCAGGGGTGCAGAGAGCGTAAATAAGAGTAGCATACACTGTATGATTGTATCACAAGGCTATTCAATACATAGAAATGATTAGCATGAAATCATATGAAAGTTGTTAATGTTGTCACTTCCAAACTACTGTCCGTGATACACTAATGTATATTACACAGTAAAACACACTTCTGAACTTGTTAAAGTTCGAAAGAATTAAAAGAAAAATCAAGAATGGTAATCATGTTACATGAATTGAACATTTGTTTGTATTTATAGTTATGAGGTCAATGTGGAAAAAGAATAGCGATGTGTGAAAAAATGCGTGATTTAATCAAATATAGTCATTATGATACGAATTAAAGTATGATTCATACTACATTATTGGAATACATGTCTATTCCATTGAATCATATAATGTACCATACAGTATAATTTTATTAAGCGTTCACGTATTTCATATTAACTTCCTTGATGTGTAGCGACTTTGACAGATTTCGGGATTAGTTTCCGGTATGCACTGAAAAAGATAAAAGATAAATCCGGACATTCAAATCCGTCCGTACACCAGCATTAGTCAAGCACCCTAGCTACTGGAACTCTCCAATTGAAGTTTATAAAGGTATTTTTCAGTTTGCCTACGAAAGAATTTGGTCTTGCATTTTGGCACGTGGCTGACGTCAACCTCATTAATATATATACAAAAAAGTGGCACGCTGACTGCGAAAATCTTTGAAACTCTGACATGGCGTGTGCTTTTGGAGGATGTCCATAAAGGAGGTTTTTAAAAGAAAAAGTATCCATCTTCCCATACTAAGCATTTTTCAGTGGTCTAGTCACATGTGTCTCCGCGGCGCGCGTTATGTATTTCCGTGCAGCCATTTTATCAAGCTAAGTTATAACAGTGCCGTGCCAAAAGTGAAGATAATTTTCACGACGTCATTTTACTTCCGGGTTACTTATTTTGGTTAAAAGGGGCATTTCTCTGAACGTATTTAATGGTCATGCCCCTTCTTCCACACATGCCATGCAAAGGGGCATAGGTCACCGGAAGTGATTGTGGTCGTCTGCTTTGTTTATATTTCGTACGTTGGTGTGAAAGGACCCATATTGCACGGCAAACGGGACATCCGCTCCCAACTAGGCCTATTTTTGGAGTTTTAAACCGTTTAAAAGATCGAGGGAGTTATAACGTTTGAAAAAACAAGGCGAGAACTGGTAGGCCAAATATAGTAACACAGCGGGATACTCGCAAACTTTGCACCACTGTTAAATCAAATAGAAAACGCCCACTCATGAAATAACTTCTGTTTTTAATGAATTCAGGGAAGAACACGTGTCTAAGCTGGGCGTATTGTTCAAAGAAAAAATTATGAAGAGGGTTATAAAAAGTATGTTTAAAAACTCCATTAGAATTTGTGCTGCAAATGTCCCAAAAAAAAGGCTGGCGTGGTGTAAATTGAACAGACACAAAACTGTTGAAGATTACTGGAGAAGAGTCGTCTATATATAGTGATGAATGTAAGGTTGAAATTGGAATGGATAATCATGTTTTAGTCTGGAGGCGGCCCAGTGAAGAATGACATTGGAAAAATATGGACAGAAATGGCTGCAATTTAATATTCTTTGAGAAAGGGATATCTGCTTACTTCTATCCTGTTGTTTGTAGTCAAGATCTGGAACTGCATACAAGTTATTTTCCATATGGTTTTGTGCATCTCAGATTTTCTGTGTATACCGAAAGTATAAATATCACCTATTGCATGATATGCATATATCTAAGACCCGGATGAAGTCTGAAAAGAAAAAAGTTTGTTTCTCAGGAACAATGTACCGGTATTATAAATTATTGAAAGAACACATTTCTGACAGCAAATTTTCTGATACATGTGAACGTGGAAGTAATTTTAGTTGTTTAAAAGGATATAATTGTCACAATGACATAGACTTGATATTTTACAGTATCAGCACAGGAGGAAACCGAGCCGGAGTTAGCTCCCCTAGATGGCTGGTACAACAATCTGCTCCACCCGGACTGGGGTGCCGTGGGTAAGCATTATACACTTGTAGCATTACTTTTGCTTGTAAATCATACACTGGTCGGAGCAAGGTTTAATAAAAATGTTGCAGATGTTTTTTCGCTAATCAAATAAAACATGTATACATATATATATATATATAGTCTATAGATATGTAGAATATAATTTTGGTAAACATGATTTTTTTCCATATTATGCATATACAAGTGTGCACAGTATTGAGACTTCTCTGCAGATCTTATGATCATGATATCTTTATCTTTGGTTCCTGTAGTAAACAAATATTAATAGCTGCTGTAGATTTATGTTCTTTCAAACAGTTTGAATCTGTTGATTTTAGATTCTATTCTGTTGCGCAAGAGTCCCACTGCCTACGCCGACGGAGTCTACCACATGGCTGGTCCAACCCGACCAAACCCTTTTGAAATTAGTAAGGTGGCCCACAGAGGCATCATGGGATTGGGATCAGAGAGAGGTCGGACAGTCTTGATGACACATTATGGTAAGGAATGTCATGCGTCGTCCGTTAACATTTTACATTTTCAACTTAAGCTGAAATACTGTCGAAGGGATTTCATTTATACTTCATGGGAATGTTACTGACAACTCCCTGACCAAGTGTTGTTATTTTTTTTAGCTCGATCAGAAATCCAATATGGCCACCACATCATTTTCTCTTACCCTGGACAGGTGTATCCACACTTTTACCGGTGTGAGATTTCCTCGTCTCGCCCTAGAGTTGAGACAGGGGGATTCCCCTATTCATAACAATGGTATTACGTCACTTCAACAATACATAACGTCACCTAAACAATCCGTCAACGTCACGTCAACCCTGAATTTAGCAAGTAACGTTAAAATCATTACATTGTGTATATGATACACATTGGGAGAACAGGGTAAAAGAAAAAAAATCATTCAACCCTTTGTGGGTGAGATAAAGTAATCTCAACCCTCGGGGAAAGATCCCCGTATACTATCTCACCCTCAAGGGAGTGAAAGATTCTGTTAATCTTCACTTCATATATTTTAACACCAAAAATTGATACTGTAGGACTCAGGTGACCGTTAAGGCCCATGGGCCTCTTGTTATAAATGAAGTTGGTGCAATCCCTGAAACCAGAAGGGCAGCCGGCATGGAATATGTGTTACATAACACATGTGGACTTAACATTTTATTCACTACACATTGTGGCCCGACAATCTTATCTTGCTCCCTACTGGAGCAGACTTCCTCTCCCAAGTCCATTGGAAAATGTCTCTCTCTCTCCTGTCTTTTTGGAGACTCTCTGTCTAAATTCCCTGTGTAAGTTCGTTTTATCAAAACTCATAGTACATATCTTATTAACTATTCATGATCCCATACCACCTATTTTTACGTAATTAGGCATGTGCAACAATTTAATCTAACTTCTAATCTAACTTTCCCCATATCTTTTATTCAATGTACAAAACTTATACACCTTTCTATGAATAGTATTTTTTCTAAGAATGTTTAAAACAATAATATTGCTGATTATTCAGACATAAGGAACAATTATTTATTTCTTTGGTTTTAAAGTTCATATCAAAAGTTTGGTAAATAAAAAAAACTATTTAAAAATAATATTAACCTCCCCTTCAATTTAAAAACTTATTACTGAGCAGGAGTGTCCGTCTTGAACGTTCTTTGAAAATGAAACATATCAGCTGAAACAAATCTGGGGAGAACCGGCCTGCCTACCAAAACAACAACACTTCTATGTACCATATGTCAATGACAGTTACTCCCGTCTGGTTTGGGGAGTTCGCACTATCATTCCTATCTCTATGTCATCCATGATGGACCTGGACATCACTAGATGGATATCCTTGTAGCAGTATCTTCAATTCATTCATGCACCTTCACATCTGGAGAGGCAACAGAAATTAGTATAAAACGTCATTGTCCCTTAACCACAAATTAATGATAAACATTTTTAGGTCACCTGAGACAAAGTCTCAAGTGACCTATTGCGATCGCCTTTTGTCGGGTGTTGTCCGGTGTCATATAAGATAAGTATCCCCCATAGGATAAGTATCCGGATACTAAAACTGGCCATAGGATAAGTATCCCCCCCATAGGATTAGTATCCCCCCAAATCATATTAAACTTTTACTGTACATAGGTGTTGGATATATTGATTTTATCTAGGAGGAAGTATTAATGAACATTATTTTTATAGCTGGAGGCTTACAAGAAACTTTTGACGGTATACATTAGAGGAATATTGGATGTGGTGCATGGTGTTAGCTGTTTGAGGGCGATTGTTTAATTTAAGGGTAACAATTAATGATGTAGAATGAGTGAAAAATGAACCTAAATAGCTTATACACATGTTTTAATTTATCA